GGGGGGGGGGGGGGGGCCAGGCTTTGAGGGGCACTTTCCAAAAAAAAAGGGCATCTCCAAAAAAATTTTTGGCGACCTCCCCCCCCCCGTCGCCAAAAAAAATTTTCGGTCAGTGTACCATTTTAGGGGTAAAAAAATTTTCCGGACATACCATATTTTTCCTTAAATACTAAAAATTTTTCCCGGAAAACCAAATATATGATATTTTTATCGGAAACTAAAACATTTTTCGGGAAAAAACATACATTACAGTTTTCAAAAGTTTCGTTTGGACAAAAACTGCGAATTTTATGAAAATTTTTCAGGCACAAAAAGGGCACTTTCCTCCTGTAAAAAGGGCACTTGCCAAAACTTGGGGGGGCCATGGCCCCCCTGGCCCCCCCGGTTCCTACGCCCCTGGTGACAACTTCTGAGGTGATTACAAATGTCTTCATTATACTCAATTTATACAACTTCCTGTACTCCCCGGCCTCTTCCACATGCAAAATTCTCCAGGCCATAGTTATTAAATGAAGCTTTGTGATTGGTGTATCGAGTTTTGAATTCATTTTCTGTTAGTCCAACATATGTTTGAGTGGGCCGCTTGTCAGATGTTTTTACTGTGGCTTGCTAGATAACAGATTTTGCTAGACAATTTTTTGACATAGGGCATTCACTTGGTTTTTGGCAATTGCATTTTTTTTCGTCGGTGGTTTTAGCTCGGTGGGATAGCTTGGATTTATTATGTCCGTCGATGTATTGTTTAAAATTACTCATGCAGCTGTAGCTAATCTTGACGGTATTTCTGTTGAATATCTTGTGTAAGATATGGCCTGCGGGAAATTTCTCGTCTAGAATCTTTAAAAAGGTCTGACCAATATTAGTAGCGACATTTTTGCTGAACGGTGGGTTGTACCAGGTTATATTTCGTTTCCGACTCCTTGAGTTGATGGTATTTTGGGATGTCGGAGGTTGTTGGTATTTCAATTTATGTCGATAACCGCTCTTTGTTAGGGCTCCTTGATATAATGGCACTGCACGCTGAAACGAGTCTTCATCAGATGAAATTACAGAAAGGCGCTTGTTGATCACTGCTGGTGT